GCCTCTGCGGTAAAATTGATGTGGGTTAGTCCTGATGAGCAAAATACAAAGCTTGGTAGATCGCTTGGTGGCAAGACCCTTTGAAACGTGGGGGCGTATTGCATCTGCAGCGCGTTTGCAGCTTCCATAGACGTTCTTGTTGGGCCATCAGCCGTCTTAAGTGGAGGAAATCCTTTCCTCACTTTTCGTAGGCTATTAACGTGCTTGTACAGCAGTTTGTGGTTAGCACTGAAGGTTTTTGCTATGTTCTGCTGATAGGCGGCTTTGTCTTCTCTTAACAGTTGAGTGCAGTGGTTACGTTGGGCTACGTAGTTGTCCCAAGTTTCATGTGCTGGATCTTCTCTGTACACTCGCCATGCTACGTTGCGTACTGTCATCCATTTTCGAGTTCTGTTCCTAACGAAAGAAACTGATTTGCACATATTGCAAGCTTTTATCTCTGAAGCCTGTGCAATCACCTGACTGAATGTGTTGACGAACTCGAGCCAGGCGACTTCGGGGAGTTCTTCTTCGAGGAAAGACCATGTTGTGGCGCCGACTAGCTGGGCGAGCCGGTCGTACCTTGTGATAGTTCGCACAGTCGCATCGTTATCATTCAGATATTCTGCATAGCAGACGAAGTTGAAACTGATGACTGCGTGATCACTGCGACCCAACGGGCAGTCTAAAACCAACGCATCAATCATATGCTCCTCGTTGGTAAGCACAAGATCCAGCACAGATGGCCTGTTACCAGTTCTGAACCGAGTGGGCAAAGTGATGTGGTTGTAAAGAGGAACAGTAGTTACTAGATCTTGTAGAGCGGTTTTGAATTGTTCTCCGATCGTGGCAGGGGCTTCTAAACAATGTACGTTGAAATCATCCATGATAAGAATGTGAGTGTACTTTTGTTGTAAACTGCACCTTAAAGCAGCCGTTACGTGGTAGTCGGTTTCGGGTGTTGAGTTAGAAGCGCGATACACCAATACGATAAGACAAGCGCCCCTGCCTTTTAACTGCAACCGGCACCAAAGAGTCAGGGAACTGCGAGTCTGAATCCTCCACGGCTTCGCACTGTAAGTCTTTTCGGTAGTACAGGATTACCCCTCCTCCTTTTGTGAGCCTGTCGTTCCGGATCAGCGATATGCCCGGTAGCGACACTTCAGCGTCCGTTATTCCCGTGTGCAACCATGTCTCGGTGATACCAATGACATCATACGAGCCGGAAGCTTGGCGATCTTTCAGTTCAGCCAGTTTGTTAGAAAGTCGCTGAGCATTTGTATACAAGCAGGCCAGTTTCTCGGTCTCTAGGAGCCCGCAGAGAGGTGAAGCTGTCAAGTGTGGGAGAATGCCGACCGATGGGAGGTCGGCAGTTACTCGTTTTTTGTTGGGTCAATGTACCTCGTTTGCAACTTGATTCGGCCAAGGTGCGTCCCAGTCTTCGTTTAGACTTACGTCAGAGTCAATTAAAGCAGCAGTCAAGTTACACTTCTGTACATTCGTCAGTATGCTTGCTGCTTCAGTTGCTTTAATATTTGGGCTGTGCAAAGTGGTTGCGACCTTTAACCGAATTTCGGAAGGAAGATGTTTCCGATTTCTCCACCATCGATCCGAAACATCCTTTGCTTGTTGCTCTGACTGAACCACAAGTTTTAGTATTCTAGGGCCGCATCCTCTATAATTCGATGAGAGAGGTATCCTGGTAAGCGATAGTGCCACAACATTATCCAAAGAAAGTGTTTCGCGAATGAACCGCCACTGTTCTAAATCGTGCTTTCCGGTCTCTTGAACATCGTTAGAAGGATGTTCTGGCACGCTACGCTTCTGTGGTCCATACTCGCTTCCATTGAAGTAAGCTTATTGTTTATCCTCTGCTCTGCTTATGCGATTAACCGGTCGCATTTCTGAGCTAGGATAAGCAAGCACTTAACTAGAGGGATGGTGGAACACGCAGTACAGAACCAAAATGCATCTTGGGAGCTATTTCGCTCCCGGAACTGTTGTTGGGACACATTTGCACATTTCGTATGGTACCATTCCAAACAGTGCGAACAAGCCAGACCGACTTTTACTACCCGATGACATTCTCCTAACCCGCAAATGCCTTTCGATGGGAGTCTCTTCGGTTTCGCCTTTCTGTCATTCAATTTGGTGTCGTTACCTGACCCAGTGGGTTGGTTAGCGTTCTGTACTTTTAAGGCTTTTAGAGCGACGCACATCGGTCAGGCGAGCGTGGTTGTTGCAAGATCAAATGAGCGGTCGGCGTGGTCGCGCGGTCCGTGTGATGGGTTATGCAGCCGCACTGGCTGACGAGGTCACAAGGAACGGCGAGTGACTGCAACCTGAACAGAGCGCTGAACACAGATTCTTTTACAGCTGTGTTGAGAAACACTGGATCGGAGTAAGCTTAGGCTTTTCGGCCTGCCTCGAGAATTCTGTATCGAATGGTGTCACACAGAATGGCAATCGGCTCAATACGATTGAATTAAACGCTTGCGTCTTATCACAGATGCCAATGAAAACGGTTGGCGATGGTGCAGCCTCTAATCGTAGAAGATATTTCCACGTATGATGGATCGCTGTATAGAGCTGGTAAATCCGATTCGAATGAGCGTACAGTGACAACGCTGCGAGAAGATGAAGAGAGGATAGATGGAAATAATCCAAATGAACCAGTAGCACGCACGTCACGCGTGTGTGAGGATGACCTTGACCAGCATGTAGGCTTCCAGGACATGAACCCATGGCACCACAGTAGCATCCTTGGGTAGACCATTTCGTGATCTAGCCACCACCAGCCTCCGCGCACCATAGACTCTCCAGCCTTATTTATTTATTTATTTATTTATTTATCACCTACTGACTCAATGAGACGGTGGATCTGTGCTGGGGAGATGGGGTGTTCTTTCCTTCGCCTTGCTAGGCTCATTGATTGGTTCTACGCACTCATTGTGGAGGGGGCCTCGGTTCGAAACCCGCCATTTGTCCGTCTGATTCTCCAAATTCAGCGTGTTTGTGTTTTTCTGTGAAGGAATGTGGGCCGGGTCCCTCGATGAAACATGACTCCCATCCACATGCCTCCCAGTCTTATTCCTTCGGGTTTACACTGGATATGGATGTGTGGATGGAACTGTGGGTGGTGCAGCGTAAGTTATCCATAGTCCCTCTGTAAGCGCAGGTGTCCTACGGCTGCGCATGGAAGACCGCAGTGACAGGCCACTCTGGAACCGGATGTCGCCAATCCTACGGGACACCATGTCTTGAGCTTTACACGAGTAATCTTCGTCCTCGTCACTTAAGATTTTAAATGCCAAATTTAGGATATACGTACCAAAATGGGTTCAGCGTTAAGGCACCGGCTCTTCTTTTTCTCAAAGCTGATAATGTCTTGTCTAACTGTCACACCTCTGATCCGAATGTAGTATTCCACCTAGTGCTGATGGAAATGCCGACGCCAATTCTTATATCTCATTGAGGGATTCGCGAAGGACCAGATCAAGCTCGGATAGCACGTGTAGTAGCCGTTGTCTATCAGACGCAAGCTGCCCTCCACCACCTGTCCACAACCTGGTCGGTGGTACACTTCTGTGGTTGTTTGTGGCTTTGTTTATCTGTTTTCTCACTCACAAGGAAATACGAAACGCATGCACCACCTGGCTTTCGTCTCCTCACCGCATGATTTAAATCGACCCAAGCTAAAGCAGTCTAACAGTAGAAATTTATTAACTAAATATTCCTCAGTGTGTTCTTCAGATCGCTTTCAATTCCGTAACGAATTACTGGTTATCGTTCCTAAATTTACCACTTCAGGTTTAATGTGCGCTCCGAGAATTGGGAGCTAGCCAGGATACTTTAACTTGCTGAGTCTGAAGCTGATCATTCACGCTAGGTTGAGCAACCAGCGCAATCCGAGATTGAAGCATGTATTTCGGTACAGACTAGATTGTCAGACATGACATCAAGGATTGTAACTGGTAGTAATAAAGCGGAATACCTGTTACTCGGGTTGTTTGTCCAAGTTTGGTTTTGTTTTCCGAGTCGAACTCTTTCGTTGCAGACGTTTCGTCCCAAATCGCGATGACTTCGTCTGTGCGTACTAAACAAAAATTGAGAGAGTGCTGTTTAAACTTGGCCACTTCGATTCATGTCCCGTGACCATTGCTAGTTTGCAGTTCGGTCGCTACCTCTTTTAGACTCATGTGGTCAATGACCCGTCTTAAGTTCCTTTTTTGCAGTTGATAGTAGATGGGGTCTAAATCACTGTGCATGTTTACCGAGTTCTCCGTAGAGAACCATGCTTCGAGAAGGGCACATGTTTGATTGGGCGAAGACGGAGGTGCTTGCGCAGGGAGAGACAAGAAGAGAAAGAGAATTTCTCGAAGCATGGTTCTCTACGGAGAACTCAATAAATGTGTGCATTGACTTAGACCCGAAAGGCGGCAGTCGAACGGCACACTAGAAATGGTCACAGGACGTGAATTGAAGTGGCCAAGTTTAAACACCACTCACCCATCGGTCAATTTTTGTTTACTACGCACGGATGAAGTCACTTTGATTTGTGATGAAACGTCCGCAACGAAATAGCTCGGCTAGGAGAACAAACCTAAACCTGAATTGTAAATGATACTTCAACACGCATTCGTGCTACTGCATGAACTTCTGTCGGAACTCATTGGTAGCGCAGAACAGGTATAACCCACAATAATGGCTTCTCACCGCGCTAATGAGGAAGGTGTGCCACGGATTGTGAACGTCAACTAGGGCAGCCAATAACTTGGCATTAGAATACGCAACAAAATGCATGGATGTACAAGGATCTAGCAGTTGGTGTAGGTAGGAGGAGATGTTTTCATACGGTGGCCAGCGATTGTCACGTCTTTCGGATTGTTGGCGATAGATTTCTACCGAGTTCTGAAGCACGTATACAGGCAACGAAGACAAAATGGGTGTTCCGATGCTCCTACTCTCCAACAGATGTTCCACTAAAAGTCTGACAGGTAGCACGACACTAGTGCACCTACTTGTACTGCTCTGTTATTTTATGTCGCGCCGCCTCAGCCTCCTGTCCCAATTGTTCGTATTTCATTTTCCACATCTCCGTCTCTCGATTCGCTTGCTTCGTGCGGTCGAGCTGTCGGATCACAACTTGATGCTGCTCTTCCAGAGCTTCCTCCATTTCCTTCAGGCGTTGATTTAACTGCTTGCAATACTGGTCAGCTTGCTGTCGACTTGCAGTGGATTCCACCGACCTTGAAAGTTGTGCCACGGATTCTTCTATTCGTCCGCGTAGCTGGTAAATGAAAGAGAAGATGGGCGAGAAAATGAGGGGTTTGGTGCCTAGTTCATAAGTGAGGAACTTGAACGAAAGCTTCTGCAGAGTGGTACCTTAGACAGAACCATGAAATGTAAACCTATTTCTCTCGAACAACTGAACACATAAGTGGCTGCACTCACAGCTATTGTGGTTGCTACGCTCCACGGAGACGAACAGACCAAATAATAATAGGAAGTGGTAATAGTAGTAATAAAAGTAATTGTTGTTGCGTATTGCTTGTTTTGATCGATATGTTGCCGTATGCTGAACGTTGACAGCGATCAGAAAACACTGCAGCGGAGTTCAATGGAATTGGTACCATAAAATGCTGAACGAGCAACGCGGACGCTATAACAATGAGGCTGATTAGTATTACCGAAACCCATCGATAGATAGTATTAGAGTAAGCTAAAGACAGGTGATCCCGATCATGCAATTGGCACCAACATTGGTCCGGTTGCCAGAAATATGCAAATGCCTTGCACTGGCGCCCCAGAAATTCGAACTTGCTGTATCATGATGTAAGATTCTGATCTGAAGACAGCGTTTCAGGAATGTGACCCTGGTCTGCTGGTAATGGAAAACCTTCGTTGTTCTAGATAATATGAATCCGATACAAACAGAAGTACTCAGCATGTTGGTCATTTGCGAAGGACATTCGGGAGTTTGGATTAATAATTTTTCTCTCTGATGCTCAATGCTTGCGTGCATCCCCAAGTCGAATACGCTATCTAGGCTTGGTAACCATGCCTAAAACTTAACCTCCTAGCGCTCGAGGCCCTGCAACGTCAGCCAACGAAGTTTGTCAAGGGCTTGCGCCATCTTCTGTACCGGGAACAGGTAAAGAAGCCCTACGTGTTCAGTAGACGCTACCGGCGACTATGTGGAGACCTCACATTAGTATACCAAACACTGAGCAATCCCGGGTACTTAGCCTAAACACTGACCTGAGAGGTAATAGCTTGAAACTGACTCATCAATGCAGTTGTTTAGACTATCGACGAACTTACTTCTCCCTCTAGGTCTACCAACCCTGGAAAGCCACTTCAAAATCAGTTATGTCCCCATCTTAGCATTTTTCAAAAAACCCCTTAGATATCGCACTGAACCCCATACACGAACCCCATACATGAATGGATATTCTATAGCGTCATAAGGCCAATTAGATTTTTTGGAGTTGTAGCCCACAACTGCGCATGGAAATCCGTGCAGACGGTGAACAATCCGAGTTCCATTTGCAATAAGCATTAACCATCGTAACATGGTGTTCCGTTTTGCGAGGTATCACCTCACCCCCACAACCCTACTTCTGTAGGTCATTACTCGATCGGTTCAACCATGCGCATTGCATTCGGCCCATTAGTGTAGCATCCGAATATGCGATTCCTTCTACTACCAACCTACGAGAAATGTGAAGCTTATGCTTTTCTCAGTCGTAAGCCAATGTTTCGTTGTTCCATTTTATTGATACTGTATTCTTGAGATAATACTTCTCACTCTGATTATTTCGTAGGACATGTTGCACGTTGAAAGCTACAGAAGCTTTTTCCATGGTCCACTGTGATGCACCTTTTGCTTGCGGTCATCGTATTGAAGACAACTTTCGTGTATAGTAACACATGAAGAGAGGCAGCCGTGCCTCTACTGTGACATCTGAGCTTACAGTATTTTTTCAATCATCTCACGTACCCTGCTTCTGTTCTGCGTGGGCCATCTGCTCTGTTCAGCACCAGCATGTCAACATGATTGTAACGGGCGACCGATTGTCTTGACCTCCATGGGTACTCATGAACTGGTTACGGCATCAACATAGGGAGAATTACTCCCATGATATCGGTCGCAAGCGTACTGTAACAAGCCCAAGGTCTACCATTGGCATCATGCTTGGGTAGACCCGTTTTACTGCGCAGAGCGACCCGATGATCGAAAAGCTGGACAATCCGTTATTGCGTTTCTTAGATAAAACAGACAAACGTCCAGCACCAAGCGCAGCCTTATACCCATCCGAACAGTTATCGCAGAAGATAAGCGGTCGTGAGCGCAAAACAGTTCCCTAGGTTTTACAACTGTCATCAAAGACAGTCCCGTGTTATTCAAACAGCTGATGGACCGGGTAATACTTTCACTCCGACTGCCTATAACCCAGTTCGGTCAACCTGAAGGTACAGACGAGGTTCACAAACAAATATGCTTTGCAATCCAATCTGAACATATAATCTAAAAAAATTCCGATGGCTGGAATGGGTTAACATAAGCATACTACTTCTCTGCATCCAAACATATAGTTTATCTGGCTGGCATTCTGAGAATGGAACCCAATTGGTGAGGCAGATCGTTCTCCCGTGTGTTGTCACTGCGATTATTCGGTCAGTTGTAAGACGTCTCGGTGCTTAGTAAGGCTACCATTTTAGTGCCGACTGAACAAATTACAGGTGAAGAATTGGTTTAATCCCTTGCGAATAACCCAATCTTGTGCCTGAGAGTTACTCCCTTCCCGGTATGTTTGTATTTGCGGCTTCTCTCTTAGTAATAATATACGGCCAACGCAGCGTACGTAGCAACAGTTCAAGCACCTTGGTGATCCAGCCAATTTCCTAGATCCCAATTTCTGAAGTGCAGCGAGAATCGGATCAGAGGTGAGTGCAAGTACGGCGTAGTTTCCCGCTTGACTCACTAATTCCATGTTGAATCAACCTCATCAATACACGTTAGCTGAGGATGAGAAACACGCGTCAGCTAAGGTGCCACAATACAAAAAGATGGTTTAAAAATGCACAACCAAGCATTTTTAAAAATGTAATGAATGGTTAAACACTATATTATGCATTTCGGGTGGGATGGAAATTCGAGAGAGAATCTAGAGTAGAGGGGATGGACAAATAAAATCTAAAACATAAACGCCATTGGGGCCGGCTCTTCGCCGTATCAGTAAGTGTTGAATGTTGCCAGTCAGCCTCTAATGAGCAGTCCGAGTAATAGGAAGAAACTTATCGAGGTGTAAAGATGGTAACTAGTGCCAGTAATGGGAAAATGGAGTCTGACTGCGACTGGCCTCCCCAAAATTGTTCTGACTAGCTTTACTACTGTTATCTATTCAACAACATATAAGATATCTCAAAATGTCACTGCATTTTGGGCCGCTCGGTATTGAAATTAATGAATCCTAGAAGTCCAGACTTTTCTCTACGTAACAGTAGCACCTACTAAGGCCAATGTTGTGGTCCTTTGTTCACTGCTCCAAACAGTAGGGAGTTAGGGTTTTGGTACCTCAGAAACTAAGGGGAGCTGGGTCGATGAGTAGCTCAAATAAGATTACGTTGTCGCCCCGCACTTGTATTGTGTGTGGCGGCTATTTGACTGGGGACTTCTCAAAGCTGTTTATTAATCCTTACTAACGGAACAATGATCGAAACACATTTGAAAATGTGTACCCGGTTTTTCCTATTATGACAAATGTAACAACCGTTTCTGTTTTGTTACCTTGGAACGATTTCATATCATATGCAGATAGGTTGGTATGCCACGGAGTCGTTTTGTATGATGATCACAAGGGAAAAGAAACGATTGAATTAGGAAAGGCATTTTATGCCAGATTAACTGTAAGCAAACGGAATTGTTCTGACGCTCTATGCGGCTACTCCGCTTTGCCAGCTTTGTCTGTTGATCCATCAGGCAGATATTGTGGCTGTTTCCTACCATGCGAATGCACAACTGGTTGGAATTTTCAGAATCTGATACACTATCTTGAGCTCAGGTCTTGAAGGATGGCACCGTCTGCTGTATAATCCATAGTGACTTCGTTTACGTTGATGATGGAGGTGAAACATGCACTTAAAACCTGTCATAATCTATCTTGAGGTGTCAAGCGTGGCATGATTACGCTATCGCAACTATTACTAGGCCCGAACACAAAATCTGCTTAAAGTTTTAAAACACATGGTGGCGGCTTGCAAAGGAAGTCGTTGCTCTGGGGGCCAGCCCTGTCCTCTGCACATTCATAACATACAAGACATTGGAGGATGAGCCGCGCTCTACCGCAGTTAGATATCAGTCATTGCGGTCCGCTGCTGTCCCCCATGGCTCAGTGACATAAGTCGCAGACTCGCAACAATAAGGTCGTGGGTACGAATCTGGCAGGATTCGGCTGGTGCGCGCTACAGACGAGTCCCAATAGGACGAAACGGCCGTCTAGCGCCTTCCTGGATGTGTGTTGACTGTCTGCCTGTGTCTAACTGCGACGAATCTGCACCTAACCAAATAAATTCCTCTACTACTTACAAATCCAACTTATGTGAATGCCCCAGCAAGCAAATATCTTTGGTTTGTTTTAGCGACGAAATTTATAACCAAGCAACATCCCAAACCTGTGTCTCTGGAAGGTTTCTAATAATTATGGCTCTAAGCGCATATAGAACGTTTGGTTAGTTATGCTAATGAACAACTCCCTAGCTAAGGACCCTGATCTGAAACCAGATTCTCCCTGCTTTTTCGCAGGTGTTGTACAAGTGCCTTACAATGGCTCGACACTGAATGTTTGTTGACCGTCGGTCATATCTCAATGTCCTCGGCAAAATTAAGAAGTTTGAAATTGTCCCAAATGCAGGGTAATCAGAAACATCCAATTTGGCTCTTGACAATAACGAACCAAATGAACATGCATCTTCGTAAGCTGCTTCTGAAGGAGAAAGCTACAGGTCAACGAATAACAAAACGTTTAATTCCTTCGCTTCCAAGTTTTCAAGAAACGACCTGTAATCCAATCATTCTAGCATTATGCAAAGGCCAAGACAGAACGAGTTGAAGCTAAGTAAACTATCTGATTTTCAGCTTAGCAGGCTAATGCTATTAGCAACATGGTGAAACATTCTACATGTCACTTAAAGCGTTGCTTCTCCAGTGTTAGTTTACTGTATCATCAGTGCCGCAGTGGCAATTACTTACATGGTGTTTGGCAGCGATGGAGGACAGTCACCAGG